GGAACGAGACGCTGCGTCTCTTTGCCATACTCCCTGCATCCCTGCAGGCGCTACTTCATCGAAGCTGGGTGGCGCCCGGCCGGATGCACTTTTATGCTTTCTGGTGCTTACATCACCCTGCTCGTGACGTCTGGCTGCTCCATTGGACGGATTTGACACGTGCTTCAGAACGCGGTCACGCAAGGGCGTTCCCAAAGCGAATCTCGACGCAGCGTCTCGTTCCCTCGGGGAACCATGGTTACACATGTAACCTAGAGACGTTCTCTGGAATACTTGATTTGGATTGGTCAGTCATGACATTCATAGGTGTGTTATAACTGCCGTCATTAGCAATGGCGAATAACACGCACTAATACAGGTATTTGAGGCCAGTGTTTCTTTCATTTCTCTCACATCATACTCTTTTGTTTCATTCAAACACAATGGCTATCATCTTGTCCCTCAGTTATCATCTGTATTTACTGTAAAATTAATCCAGAGGACTTCAGTATTAATAGTTACCTTGCAGTAATATTTAAAAGTGTTTGTTTTGTTGCCAGAAAGATTGTTTTGTACACTCTTAAAAATAAAGGTGCTTCAAAAGGTTCTTCAAGCAATGCCATAGAAGAACCATTTTTGGTTCCACAAAGAACCATTCAGTCAAAGGTTCTTTAAAGAACCATCTCTTTCTTACCTTTTTATAATCTGAAGAACCTTCAGTGGCATCGTGAAGCACCTTTATTTTTAAGAGTGTACACTGTCATGGATTTAAGATAATAGATGGGTAAGATTTTTAAACACTTTCTTCTCAAATATCATTTTATGTCTTCGTCTTTATTTATGTGGAGAAAAGCTGTGTAATTATTAATGCGACCGTACATTATGCCTTAAATGGCCAGAACTTCGTCTTGCCTAGGAATTTTTCTTTGAGGAAGCTTTGCATTTAAAGAGCTAATAAAAATGTCTAATTATTTTAATGGCAATGGCATTTTTATTTATATAGCACCATTAAATGCAACTCAAGTTGTCCAATGTGCTTTACAACAAACATAATAAAAAACAAACACATTAAACATTTAAACAATAAAACCTTATCAAGAACAAATAGGTTTTTAGATTGGACTTAAAAAAGATCCAGAGGGAGCAAGTCTGATAGGAATGGACAAGCCATTCCAGAGTCTGGGGGCAGCTACAGAGAGCGCACAGTCACCTCTACATTTGTACCTCCACCTAGGGATGAACAACAGTCTCTGGTTGGATGATGCTCAGTCAGTAAATCAGAAAAGGTATGACGGAGCCATACCATTTAATGATTTGTAGACCAGAAGTAATATTTTAAAATCTACTCTGTAGCACACTGGCAACCAGTGCAGGGAACGTAAAACTGGAGTGATAAGGACCAGTCAGGAGTCTAGCTGCAACATTTTGAACTAACTGTAATCGGGACGGTGCTGAATGGCTAATCCCTAAATAAAGAGAATTACAGTAATCCAGCCTGAAAGAGATAAAGGCATGGATTAGTTTTTCAACATTTTTGGAAGAAAGAAATGACTTTACAATTATTTACATTTGTGGCAAGTAGTCGTGTGATAAGCGGGATAATGTACATCCAGCCAGTTGTTATCATTTTGTGTCGGGGTCCTGATCACCCTGTTGGGGTTATTTCTGCGATAACATCTGTCTGGATGTACATTATCCCTTACTTAACTAATGAGACCTTATTGTAAAGTGTTACCAAAGAACATTCAAATGTACAAATCCACATTATAAAATATGACTATACAAAAAAAAAAACGTTTAAGGGAACAACACCATTACCTGTACAGTAGTTATTACTGGCTAGCTCAAATCCTTGACCTGAAGGATATGTGTGTTAATTCAAAGAAAGGTTTTCCTATGGATTAATTAGAAAAGAGATTGCTTGGAGAAGGTGTGAGGGGATTGGGTCTAGACAGGTTGTAAGATGGCTGGAGAGGAGAAGTTTGGAAACTTTAGCCTCAGTGGCACAGAAGTCCATGGCTTAAGTAGCATGTCTGATTGGATTCAGCTGTGTGTGTGTGATCAGTACATTCAGCTGTGTGCGTGTAATCAGTGCAATGGTTGATGGGAAATGCAGTCCAGGGTGATGTGTAACAGTCTGTGTGGTGTGAGAGTCAATGTAATGGGAGAATAACCTCTAGTGGCAATCGGCCTTAAGCCCACGGACCAGCTCGTGACAGAGCCCCCCCCCCCAAGGAGTGGCTTCCAGACGCTCCCAACACAATACTATCCAGGAGGGTGGTGGAGCGGAGGCGGAACAGGGGGAGGGATGGTGGGCCAGGTCCATGTTGAAATGGAGAGACTGGGATCTGAGGCAAAGCCGGCAGAGCAGGACACCAAGGTGGAGCAGACAAAACAGGAGCCCACCAGGGCAGAGCAGACGGAGCAGAAGATCTCCATGGCAGATCAGACAGAACAGGAGCCCACCCTGAGCCTAACTCAGGGACATGAACCCTTCCTGGGCGGAACTGAGGATCTGGAGCCCTTCCATCAGACAATGGCAAACGGGTATATCGAAGGCAAGACAAGAGATAAATCCAGGTAGAAGGCAAAGGTCCTAGCAGGGGCAAACAGAGTCAGAAACAGCAAGCAAAGGGTTAATCCAAGAGACGTGGCATGAATCAGAGACCAGGAAAACAGACAAGGCAAGACTAAGACTAGACTAAGAAAACTATGAAAACGTTAACAGGCTCGGTAAGGTAGCTATCCGCTAAACAGGGATACACGCAAAACAATACACGAGACGAAATCAGAAAACACGGAATGGCTCAGTAAGGCAGCTAACACTTGGGGAGTCAGAACAACAGAACAATACTCGGCAGTGACAGAGAGGAAGACCATGGCTTAAGTAGCATGTCTGATTGGATTCAGCTGTGTGTGTGTGTGTGTGTGTGTGTGTGATCAGTGCATTCAGCTGTGTGCGTGTAATCAGTGCAATGGTTGATGGGAAATGCAGTCCAGGGTGATGTGTAACAGTCTGTGTGGTGTGAGAGTCAATGTAATGGGAGAATAACCTCTAGTGGCAATCAGCCTGAAGCCCACGGACCGGATTCGTGACACTCTGTCTCCTACTTTGTATTTTCATTATAGCATGGTCAGATTGATCTGTAAGCATATTTTGGCATCTTTGTATAGTCCCACCCAACCCCGATTTATTATTATTATTTTTTTTAATTCTACAATTTTATCTTGTGATAAAATCCAAAACTTAAGAGGTTAAGTTTGTTACAACAATGGTTTATAGATTTCAGCTTATATGCAGCCATTGAGTATTACAGCCAAATAGTGGCTATTGATATTTTTTATATTTTTATACCATCATATGTCACCAGATGTCACCAATGACACCAAGTTTTAGGTTTTGGCTGTCTGAACTTACTGGATTGATACATTTTTTACTGAAGTAAAATAAATATTAATTATATCATAAAATAAGCATATTTTACATAAAAATATGGTACTTTCAGAAGTAAATAAATAAATAAAAAAACACAAAAAATAAAAAGAAAATTGCATAAATTGACCATTTTTATTTTATCAAAGATAGTGATATGAAATTTATATAAAAATAAATAAAATAGGATCACTCCTGAGACCTTCATGCCCAAATTTGTACACGAAGGACCAACGAAGGATGCTTGAGGGTTAAATAAACTCGGAATTGCATTTGGCATGGTTCAAAGCCTATTTATCTGATGGCCATCATTTGTAGCAGTAAATGAAGAGTTATCATATCGATCACAAGTTCAGTATGGAGTACCACAAGGCTTAACACTAGGACTTTTATCCTGTACATGCTACCCTTGGACGATATCATTAAGAAACATGGTATTAGCTTTTACTGTAATGCAGATGATACTCAGCACTATATTTCTTCGCGACCTGATGAAACATACAAATTTACACAATGGAATGCATAGCTGACATGAAAACTGGATGACAAGTAATTTCCTACTAATAAATTATGTGGAAAAAAATCTAATTATTGGTCCAAAAACCTCCTCACATAATAACCTAGAACACAATCTTACACTTGACGGCTGTCAGTTATGTCGTCAGTTAGAAACTTGGGTGTGCTTTTTGATAGTAATATTTCATTTGAAAGCCACATTTCTAACATTTGTAAAACTTATTTTTTCTCTCTCAAAAATATATCTAAATTCCCACATATGTTCTCAATGTCAGAAACCTGGTTCTCAATGTCATTAGCCCAGTTCTGTCAGCACTGCACTGGCTTACTATTGAACCTATCATACATTCTAAAATCCTGCTAATAACTAATATAGCCCTGAATGGTTTAGCTCCTCAGTACTTGAGTGAGCTCATATCGCATTATAGTCCTTTACGTCTGCTGTGATCTCAAAACTCTAGCCATTTGATAATACCTAAAATATCAAAATCAACCGGCAGATCCTTTTCCTATTTAGCGCCCAACACCTCGAACAACCTACCTAGCGTTGTTCGGGAGGCAGACACACTCTGTCAGTTTAAATCTAGATTAAAGACCCATCTCTTTAACCTGGCATACACATAACACACAATAATGTTTCTATAATTCAAATCATTTAAAGGATTGTTAGGCTGCATTAATTAGGTCAACCGGAACCAGGAACACTTCCCATAACACCCTACATAACATGTACTCGCTGCATCAATTCAATTCAAGTTTATTTGTATAGCGCTTTTCACGATACAAATCATTGCAAAGCAACTTTACAGAAAATTAAGTTTCTACAATATTTAGTGGTAGCTTATCAGTGGTGACTGTCAGTTAATGTACATATGGCAGAAATGTATGGAAAAATCAATTAAAGACAATCAAACAGACGATGAACACTATTAACAGCAATTATTATATGATGCACAGGGAAAGAGATGTGTCTTTAATCTAGATTTAAACAGAGAGAGTGTGTCTGAACCCCGAACGTTATCAGGAAGGTTATTCCAGAGTTTGGGAGCCAAATGCGAAAAAGCTCTACCTCCTTTAGTGGACTTTGCTATCCTAGGTACTACCAAGAGTATCATAAGAAGAATGGCATCTACGCTATTATTAGTCTCTTTCATTTTTATTTTGAGGTCACTGTAGCCATACGGATCCAGTCCATATTCAGTCCAGGTGGTGGACTAGAGATGACCACAACAGCCCTGATGTCAGCGGAGACCATGTCAACTAGATGCACCCCAGAGACAGATCCCCTGTGAAGACCTCGTCACCACAACAACCATCAGCACAGATCCTCAGCACAGACCACGAGAACCAGACATGTTTTCCATGGCAAGTTTCAACTCCCCTCCCCACCAAACGCTGGCATAATATATCCTGATCTTCAAAGAGAAGGAACTGGATGAAATATTCAGAAAGATATCAGTCCACAACTCTGACTTGTAATGCAGCCCAGAAAAATCCAAACCATGTTGTTTCGTTTGGCCAGAGAAGAACTGAACCCCAACTGATGCTGGTTTCTCCCAAGGTTTTTTCTCCATTTTTGTCACAATGGAGTTGGTGTTCCTTGCCACTGTCACCTTTGAACTGAACTGAGCTGATGATGACATCACTGATAGTGACATTTATCCAGGGCTGCTTTATAGATGAAAACTCTTTCCATAATTGATGACATTTCCACAGTTATTAAACCAAACTGAATCAACAATTAACTGATTTAAACTAAATGATGACTCAGCTGCTTTAAAGCAGAACTGAATTTTGTTTGCATCACTGAATCGTTATTTTCCTGATTCTCACTGTAAAGCTGCTTTGAAACAATCTGTATTGTATAAAGAGCTACAAAAAATAAAGGTGTCTTGATTTGACTTTACTGTACTCTCAATATGGTGCAGCCTCTATTACCCTATTGCTTAAGTATTTTCAATAATTTCATAGGAATAATTAACTGTTATTAACAGTATGTTCAGTGAAGATGCCGGATTACCTTCCAGGATGATGGTGATGGAGTTGAGTTTGAACCCCTCTCCTCCAGGACACAATGTGTTATACTCCACTAGAGACACACGATACACTCATCAGTCAACTACCACATTCATATTCATCGATATTTGTTCAATATGCCAAGCCAATATGAAGTAACTCACAAAAAGATATGACATTATACTGAAAGTGCCTTGAATAACTACAGAAAAATAAAATAACTACAGACTAAATTTAAAAAAAACAAGCTAATTAAAAAATGCCTTTAAATTACAAATTGAAATTAAATTACGGAAATACTATGATATTATACTATACTTTTATCCTAAGTATTGATGTAATATAGTATTATGGCATTGATTTACTGAGGTAATTAAGAGAGTAAATTAGAATTGTTAGCATTAATTTACTATTATAATAGGGTTATTATAGTATTATAGATCAAAATAATCTCCTGCGTACAATATTCCTACATGAAAGTGCCTAGGGACGTTGATTTCAGAATGTGTTCATCTTTTAAATGTTGACGTGTAGTAGTACTGAACTGCATTTAGTATGGAAGTAGTGACATATTGTTCCACTGTATAACCAAATTCCTGCTGTTTTGAAGTACTGTAGTATTGAACTATTAAGGATTGTTGCAGAGTTCCTTACAGGTGTTGAGTGGAGAGCAAAGGTCACATGGGTTACCCCATGCTCGTCCCAGTGAACAGCAGCATAACGAACGACTGACTCCAAACCCCAACTCAACACTACACGCCAGCCCGCCACGGCCATGGTACACCACATCCAGAAAACAGTTCCCTACTCGTGTGTCTGCCGCATGGAAACATACCAACAGACTGCATGTGAGATTTTATGGATGACCACAGAGCACTTGGACTGCAGGACTTACAATAAATACATTACATCTCTTGATCTGCAAGTACTATGATTGTGATAGCATTGGGTTAGGTTATATTTAACAATCAGTCTTACCAACGCAGCCGATTCCAGTGGGGTTGAGTTCAAAGTCAATGGGACAGTTATTACCAGAAGCTCCCTGTTGCCAATGTCATTGTTCTGCTCCGCCAGGGATAACTCTTTTTTTTTAACATTCTCTTTATTAAGTTTTTTACATTGGCACAAAAACTAAAATCATTCCAATACAAATTTTTACACTTTTATAGAAATCCTAATTTAACCATTTTAACATCGTAATGATATGGAAAAAGAAGAGAACGGGGGGGGGGGGGGGGATGAACAAAAACTAAAACAGAAT